AATATGTATGATGCATGAGAATTTTTAGAAATTTCAGTTGGATGATAGTTTTTATATAATTAAAATAAGGTAAGATAAGAAAAATGTATTGAACCACAAATGGTGACTAATTTGCTCATCAAATTTGCATAGAATATAACATATAAATATAAATTAATTAAACTGCAGGTTGGATTTAGGGAGGACACATGTCTCCCCCTCTGGTTTTGCCACTGCTCTCTTTTATTTTTTAAAGGGAAAAATGCAAAATGACACAAATACTATATGTTGCAATAGTACATAGTACTGAAGTAGCATATATTGAACATGACTCATACTATTATTGGATATCCATTTATCTTTATAATTATATTACACCTAGGCCTATATAAAATTGGTGCTCCCTAATTTAAAATATTGTGGATCTGCCCCTGAAATTGTAACCATATCCATTATTTTTGTACAAATACAGTATATCACTCAATCTCAAGATAATCAGGATCAGCAATTTTGTCAATGGAACCAACTACTATTATTTCTTCACAGAAAAGTTTTTCATGTTGTATATCTTGCGTTTTGTCTCCAACATCAGTGCATTCATCTTGATTCAACTGTTCATCTGTAGTCATAGCAGTCAGGTAGTCATCAGTGACATCATCAGAAGTTGTGTTGATGTCATAGTAAGTGTGTAAACCTTGATTTCTATCTGCTGTATCTTCACTGACATCATGGAATGTTCTGTCATCTTGGAGTTGTGTAATGTGAAAGGAAGGTTGAAGTGTATGAGTTTGATGGCTTTTGTAGATAGCATTTTGTGCTACAATTATGACAGTTGATTATTGTTTGCTGGTTGTTGAATGCATTTTGGATGTTAATCAAACGCTTTCTGATGTACAAGAACAACATAAAAAATAGAGAAAAGATAAATAAAATACAAAACACTATCAATAACAATAAATTTAATTGTTCAGAAGTTAAATTCTCAGAGTTTATTTTTGTTACATATGCAGTCGAAACATTTTTGAAAGTACTGTCTGTTGTAGATACAGCTGTTGACAGCTGATTGACACTGGTTGATAACTGGCTGACACTGAGTGTGGTTGAAGCGCTGCCAATGGCATTGTAGCCTTCAACTTCACAAGTGA